GGGGGGCGCTGCGCCCCCCCCCCAACCCCCCCCGCGCCACGAAATCTGCACTTCATCCCCGACACCCGCGCCTGCCACGAAATCAATATTTTAAGGTGAACTCCCCGGTGCAAAACTTTTTAACCAAGCAAATATGCCTCCTCTATCTATCTATCTAATCTAATTTGACCTAATCTAATCTAATCTATGTATCTATCTATCAATTTATCTTTCTATCTTTCTATCTTTCTGCAGTTCGACATCCACAAAGTACTGCACCTGCCACGAAATCTGCACTTCAAGGTCCACAAAGTCTTGCGCCTGCCACGAAATCTGCACTCCAAGGCCCACAAAGTCCTGCACCTGCCACCAACTCTACAATTCCACACGCACAAAGTCCTGCATCTGCCACGAAATCTGCACTTCAAGGTCCACAAAGTCCTGCGCCTGCCACAAAATCTGCACTCCAAGGGCCACAAAGTCCTTCATCTGCCTCGAAATCTGCACTTCAAGGCCAACAAAAAGTCCTGCGCCTGCCACAAACTCTGCACTCCAAGGCCAAAAAAATCCTGTACCTGCCACGAAATGTGCTTTGCAGGCTCCATCATTAAGGACTAAGTGACTAAGTAGCCTATACTAGCATTATCGGTCACACATACCACATACCAACCACTCGCACCAATCACGCGTTCCAGCTGCCAGACCCTCGCACCAACTATACATATCACGCACCAACACCTCGTACCAACCATATGTACCACATATCAACCCCTCGTACCCTGTACCAACCCCTCGCGCCAACCCCTCGTACCAACCATGCGTACCACGTACCAACTCCTCGTACCACGTACCAACCCCTCGTACCACGTACCAACCCCTCGTACCAGCCCCTCGTACCACGTACCAACCCCTCGTACCAACCCCTCGCGCCAACCGTCCGCACCAGACGTGGAGCGATCAACAAAAAGTGCTGTTACACCTACTTTGAACTAATATAAGGTAAAAGGATGATTCTCCCCCATTTGTGTTACTATGTTACCTTATGTTTTTATGTTGGTGTTCAATCTTTGTTCCTTGGCTTTGATGTTTTTCTAGCCCATTTTAAGTAGGTTTTTTATCAAAAAGTGTTCATCACATCCTCGTTCATTTTTTGTCTCATTTTTCTTCACTATGTTTGTCTCGTTGCTTTTGTTTTATTTTGGTTTCTTTCCTTTGGGGTGTTGCTTCGTTTTCTGGTTCATTTGTTGTAGTTATGCTATAGTTATAGGTTGTAAAATTTTAGAGAAGCTATGAAATAGCGAAGTAACAACTAAGCGTCTTTGGTGGTA